AGGCGTTCAGGGCTGAGGAGGCATGGAACAGGAGGGACACCTGATCTGGACGTGATCAAGCAGCTGGTCACCAGAGGCACCTTCTAAGGACAAACCGGGCAGGGTCTGCGGGTCCCTGAGGCCCACTGGTCCGGGACTGAACCAGACCAGACCGGCTCTGGGTGTGCGAGGCACTAAGACCTGTCTGACTTCAGGTTCTGATCACTCATGAACCGGCAGAGGAGACCAGGCGCCAACCGTGGGGCGGGGTAGGGACAGAGTACCCCCGGGGCCCGGGAACCTCCGCCCAAGGCCAGGAAAGCCTCCAGATAACCTCCAGTGAGCCTCTGTCATGGTGCTTGGCGACGGAGGTCATCAGTGTCATTCCCCTGCATGTGGCTAGTGTGTCCCCGTCTTTCATGTCCCCACGCTAGGTGAGCAGCGCTGAGAGCGGTGCTGGGTACTGGGGGTGGTCCCTCATCCAGGTCTGCTAAGGAGGCAGCGATGCCAGGACTGAGGGTGTGGCCTCAGAGGAGTCCGTGTGGATCATTTCTGGGGGTGGCGGGGGGTGTGCGCTTGGAAAGGAGATGGAGTGGGTGGTCTCTACCTCCTCCACTAGAAACTGGAAGCCAAGTGGCCACCAGGACCTGTACTGGTCGTTTCTTGGCCCCGATCCCTACCCCCACCCCCGCGGGCACAGAAGAGCGCAGGTGTCTCTTCCGAGCCTCCCCCTCCCTCGTGCTTCACCCCCACTCCTCCCACCCAGTCCTGGGAGGGAGATCGGAAGAGAGCCGGCCTGGGGAGGGGGGTCCAGGGATAGAAGCGTTTGTGTGTCACGGGGGAGGGAGGAGAAAAGGGAGGGGAGAGCCCGGGAGCGAGCGAGCGAGAGAGAGAGAGAGAGAGAGAGAGAGAGAGAGAGAGAGAGAGAGAGCGCTGAGAGAGAGGAGGGCGGGCGGGAGGCGGATCCTCCTACCTGGGGCGCGCTCGCTCGCTCGCGGCTCGATTGCCGGGGCCGCGAGTCACCTGGGAAGGCCGACAAGTGCGGACACATTGGCGGCCGCAGCGCACCGCGAGGCGCGCACGGCCCCAGGCGGCTGAGCCCAGTAGAGGCAGCGCCCGCCTGCCCTCCTGCCTGCCTGCAGCGCCTGGCCCCGGCCCGCGCTCGCAGGGCCCCTCGGTCGCTCAGCAGGGCTCCGAGATCGCGGTTCCCGGCCCGGGTCACTCCCCCGGGCGCACGCGGCAGCTGCGGCGCCCTGGGCTCACCATGGTGGCAACGCGTGCCGAGTGCCCGCGCGTCGTCCGCCGCCCGAGCCGCAGCGCCGGCTGAGCGCAGTCAGCCCGCAGACCCCCTGCCCCTGCCCAGCCCCTGCCCGGCCCGCACGTCCCCTCCAGCCGCAGCTGTCTATGGCGCAGCCCCCCTCCCTGGATCATGCACAGAAACTTTCGCAAGTGGATTTTCTACGTGTTTCTCTGCTTTGGCGTTCTCTACGTGAAGCTGGGGTGAGTATCCCTGAAGGCGGGGGCAGCAGCCCCGGGCAGAGGCAGCCGGAAGAGTTGCCCCGGGGGTCCCTGCGGGGATGTCAGGACCTCGGCTCCAGGGCTGGCCTAAGTGTAGGACCCTCGCCCCAACACCGCAGAGACGTAAACGAGGCCCCTGCGCACGGAGTGCTCCAGAGGGGCGCCGAACCCAGGGCGGGAGGAGGAAGAGCGGGGCGCGCGGGCGGCTGCAGCCGAGCCCGCGGGTAGCGGCGAGCGTGCCCGGCGCGTACTTTCACCTGTTTGGGCTCCAGGCCCCGGGGGTGGGACGCGCCTTCCCTCCCCCAGGCTGCGCTGGGCGCGGAGCCCGGGCCGAGCGCTCGCCGCCTGGAGGGCGCGTCGGGGCGGGGGTTGGGGGGCGTCCGGCCGCGGGAGAGGCCAGGGCGGGCGGGGGGCGCGCACCCCCTGCGAGTGCGCAGGCCGGGCACCCGCCGCGGCCCTTCGTCTCTATCCATCACCCGGACGTGTTGAAATTACCTTGACAACTCGTCCGGCTGGCTCAGGATGGGCCGTGGGGCCGGCCCGGCCGCCTCGGGCTTCGTCCGGGGCCCGCGCCCCCGCCCTCCCGGGGCCCTGGGCCCGGCCCCCTCTCTCCACGCTCCCCCTCGCGCGGCCGGGCGGGCGGGCGGGCTCCAGGCGGGCCGCGCTCGCTGTTCGCTGCGGTAGCAGCTCCGAGTCGTATTTCCACATTCCTGAACCCAGCCGAGTCCTTACCTGTTGAGCCGCGATCTCCTTTAGACAGAATCTGTCTCGGCCTCTCTGGGTTGGGGGGTGGAGGGGCGGTGAGGCCGAGAGGGCGTATGGTGCACCTCGCGCGGGGTGCCCCTCGCACCTGCCCGCGCCCCGAGCTCCTACTGTGCACCGCCTGCCACCCAGAGGCCGGCCGTTTCTGGGCCATGGGAAGGCCAGCGAGCAGACCTGTAGGAGGGGCGGGTTCCGGTAGCTGGGAGTCGGCTTCCCAGGCAAGAGGTAAAAACTCGACCTGAGAATCATCTTGTCCACCTCTTCTCTCCTCCGTCATTTTACAGGTGGAGAAACTGAGGCCCAGAGCCGGAGGGACCAAAGCTGGTGGCTTCAGATGCAGGGCTGGAAGCCCCGGTCCTAGCCTCAGCCATGCAGGCCTGGCGGGCGTGTCTGTGGCCGCTGGTGGCTCTGTTTATTGTAGGGCTGTGGGTAGGCTGTGTCCCTGGGTGTTTGTTTATGGAGGTGAGGGGTGCCCCGGTGTTAAGCCTGGTGGAGCTGGGGGTGGGGTGGGCAGGCCACTGTTTTCCTGACTCTCAGCAGGCTGTAGTGATCCTCTTGGGCCCCACAAAGGGATCAGCAGCCCTTCATGAGGCCCTGTCCCTGCTACCTGGCTCTAGCACTGAGGCCTTGACCGGCCCAGCTCCTAGCAACCCTAGAGTTGGGTGCTTTTGCTTTCTGGGCTTTAAGGATTAGGGAACTGAGTGCCGGAGGCCAAGTCACTGTCCACAGGCATCAGTGGCAAAGCTTTGGCTCTGGCTTCCACTGCTGACCACTCTTTCTAGCTCGATTTTTAAACAGAAGTCCTCAGAGAGCACTCCCTCCCCCTCTAGTCAGTGGGAAATGTTGTATACCCCCAGGGCCAAGCAAGAGCTGAGGTCCAGCCCAACCGGGGTTCCTCCTGCAGGTTCCATCCAGGGCTTGTGGGTCTGGATGACCTTCCTGTGCCTCCTGCTCCCTTCTATGAGTGGATTGCAACTCTGATTCCTCTGAACAGCATGGTGGCCAGCATTGAGTAGACAGTGGGTGAGGGAGACCTTGAGGTTCTCCCTGTGGCCCAGTCTGGGCTCCCAGGCAAGTATGTCCTCTTCTCTCTAGGACAGTATAAGAGAGGTGATGGTCAGATATCCCTTTGTGTGGCCCTGACTCTGCCTTGGAGTCCTGAGGGGGAGCTCCTCCCCCTCCTGTGTCCCATAAAATACACATCCCCCTGCCCCCAACTCTTGGGTTTCCAAAGCCTGGTCTCCAAAGATCCTGTGGAATGACAGGCAGGAAAGGCAGAGCCCCACCCTGGATCTGCTAAGGACAGGGGAGGGCAGGGTAGAGAGCAAAGTACCTCCCTCAGAGGCTCAAGTCCTACTTTTTATGTATGCTCTCTCTCTGCTGCACCACAGGGCGAGTAGGGGCAGCTGGGCTCTGATGTGACCTAAAGGTCAGGTGACCTGGGAGCCCAGTAGGTTGAGGAGATTTGGAGATCTGGGACCAATTTGCTCCCTGGGTCAGTCCTCCCATCACCCCAGACTGGTGCTTGGAGTGCTGGAGTGAGCACTTTATCGTTCACTCACTGGAAGAAAGGCTGCTTTTGGGAGGGGAGGAGTATGTGCCCCAATAAACACCCTGAGATAAGGGCATGGCATGCGCCCTGAGGATTCCTCCAAATGGTGTATTCTAGGACATCAGAATCTTCGCAGTTGGGATTTGGGATCATAAAAGTTCCAACCCCAAATCAGAGACTGTAGACATTAGGGGTATTCTGTGATCACAGTCCTTGAGCTCACCCCCCTGCAGGCTATGGGTCTTTACCTCTGCAAGAGGAGCCTTTCTCATCCCCACCATACACGCATTGCACACATGTGCCCCTCAGCCAGTGCACCTTGTACAGCAGCAGAAACCAGAACACAGCCCTCGGAATCCCAGAAAAGATGAGGTTGGATTCCGAGCAATTTCAAAACATAATGGCTTTGGGGACTGGAGCCAGGGTCACTAAAGTTCGAGGACCAGCCCTGCCCCAGGCCTTCTGCCTTTGTGTCCAAGAGAAGCAAAGGGGCCCAAGGACCCTGGGAGGAGAAGGGTGAAGGTGGAGGAGGTTCCTTCCTCCTGGATACTGAAGAAGAGGCTCAATGCCAGGCCTAGGAGCCAGGAAATCCACTCCTCAGGTGAACTGTCTTTTCTGCTGCCTTCCCTGCCTTGCACCTTTCCCAGCTACACTCCTCTAGAGGGACGTTCTGCTGCAGTCAGACAGTAGGAGGTGGGTCCCTAAGTCTGTGTTTCTAGCCTTTAAAAAAAAATACTGGAAGAGGGAAGTTTGCTTAGAAGAACCTGTCCTCTCTACACCTACCTACCCCAGCCAACTCCTCAAAGAAGGGTAAAAAATGTGGAGTAGGGAAACCAGCACCGGGGACCCCTATGGAGGAGAGCAGCACCTGCTGGGAGTGCAGGTAGGGCTGCGCAGGGCTGGTGTGCAGCAAGCCGCATGTGTGACTGACACCCAGCCTCTCCTAACAGGACCACGCAGGAAGAAGCAGGGGCACACACAGTGCATCTGCGCACACACACCTGCACCCTTACAGATCACCCACGCTCCCGCAGGCACACAAGGCACATGCAGGCACATGCATGCACACAGGAGCACACATTGCTGAGTGCAGTCCTTAAGAGGAGCACACGCCTCCGCGCGGTTACTCCATGGTGCTTTCCCCAAGGTGCGCTCTAGAGCGGTGTGGCTAGCTGAAGGTGAAGGTGAAGGTATTCCCAGCCAGGGCAACTTGGGCAAACCCTGGGGGCGGCTCCTGCCGCACGCTCTGGTCAGCCTCCCCTTTAAAAAAACCCGCCCGCGGAGGAGGCGGATGTAGGGGCGGCCCGTCCAATGGCAGCTGCGCGCCTCGGGAGACTTGCAGACTTGAGCCAGAGCTAGCGACAGAGCCGATTCACACCCGACAGACGGACGGAGGGTCAGACTGCCGCCAAGGCACGCCCACTGACCCCGGCCCGGCCGGGTCCCTCATTCCAGCCCCTGCGCCCGCTGCAGCCCTAGATCCAGCGCGATGCGCGGCCCTGGAGGCGGGACGCGGGCGACCACTGTCCCCGGGCCCATGAGTCCTGGCCCCTAACGCCCGGCGTCGCCGCCCTGCCAAGGGAGGGCCGCGGGGACCCCACCTCAGCTGGCGTAGGAGCCCTGCGGGTGGGGCCTGCCCAGCCCCGCCAGGCGAGCCGGCCCACCATGCTCCTTCTGTCGCCGCGCAGCGCTCTCCTCTCCGTCTATTGCCCGCAGATCTTTCTCCTCCTGTCCAGCGGCAGCTACCTGTGAGTGCCGCGGGCGGTGTGCGGGGTGGGCGGTTGGGGAGCCCGTGGCCTCCAGTGCTGGAGCAGGGCAAACAGCAGGGAACACGAGAACGAGGCCCCAGGGTGGGGTGCTGGGTGCTGTGCGTTCACAGGAGCTTGGAGACTTTAGGTCGTTTTGTCGGCCAGAGCCACCGAGGTACAGCACCTGGGGGACCAGCTGTGACAGTGAGATGTTCCCAGCTTTGGGGTTAGAGAAAGGGAGGTCTGAGAGCGGTCCTACCGCTCTTGTAGATCAGGCTGTGCGCACCGAGCGCGAGGGCCTGAGAGGGCAGGACGGCGCAGAGATGCCCTTCGCATCCCAGCCGAGTCCTGAACCAGCCGGGCACCCTCTCCCCACATTAACCTGCGTGCCGTGCCACACTAAGCAGACCCGCACGCGCACACTCGCTTTCCGGCGTACACACTGGCACACACGTGCACGCTGCAGCCCAGCAGACAGCAGTCAGGGTGTACACCGAAGTCGCTGCCGCGCTGGGCAGCCTTACCCCTGCCCGGGTTGACTCCTCACCTGGGGCGAGGAGGGCGTGCAATGTGCGCGGGCGGCCGCGGAGCGCCCAGGAATCAAGTCAAGGTAGAGGGAGCGCGCGCGCGCGTGTGCATCGGGTAGGGCAGCGCCCACCAGGCCACGGAAAGCGCCGGGCAGGGCCCAGTCCGGCCCAGCGAGCCGAGGGGGCGCGTCCGCGCAGCGGTGGCTTCGCTGGATTCCTAATGGGACGCATATGCTCTGGCCTCCGATTTAAAAAGAAGTTTGATTTATGGAACCGCCGTTTGGGGGAATTTAAGCTGGATGCTACTGATTAAACCTCAGAGCCAGCGCTCCCTCCCCCTCTCCTCCCCTCCCCCGCCCCCTCCTTAACACGCGGGCCACGTCCGGGGTCGCCTAACGCGGCCAGAGCGGGCAGCCGCCACCCGCCCGCTCCCTGCGCCACCCCCTCCTCCGGCGCGGCCGCAGTCCTAATAAATCGCCGCGCCCCCACCCCCTTTTAATAAAGACGCAGCCAATTTCTCCTCCAGCTCCTAGGAAATTACTATCCTACCAGTTTTCCTTCTATAAATAGTCGCGCATCTTGAAACAAAAGTTCGCAACCGCAGCCAGATGCTGCGAGGCCCGCGGTTTCCCCGGCTGTGGGACATAATTACAAGGTCCGGGCAGAGGGAGCGCTCCAGGCCCGGCCGGCAGCCCCGGCTGCGCAGGCATCGCCAGGGGCGGGGGTTAGGAGGCCGCCCCGGGGCAGGGCTCAGGGCCTGGTGGGCACCGCCTAATCAGTGGGAGACCCAAGCTAAGAAAGTGCAGGACCAGCGCGTCCTGCTTCTGGTATGTCTCCCCGAAATGAATCTACCAAGGTGGCCTCCTCTCTGGGGAGTTCCTGAAACCTCCCCCTCCCCCGAATCCTGGCGTCTCCATCTCAAGCCTCGCTGGAGACCAGGCAACTACTCTGCCTGAGAAATCCTCAGTCACTGAGGTTCCTGGGGAGGCATCAGGGGTGGAGGCCAGCTGTCCTCCAGCCTCCTCCAGACATGGTTTGGAGTAAGAGTCTGAGACAAGTGGGTAGGAGTGGACACTCTGCAGCAATTGAGGGGATCTCTGGCAGGTGGTGGCCAGTGTACCTCTGGATTCCCCAACTTTTCTTTTGGGGATGGCCCCTACTCCCTGCTTGTGGTGACCACCAGCGGTACCCACACAGGCTTGACCCCCGACTGCGTTGCCAACATTGTGGGCTGGAATTCTTTTAAAGGAGCAGTTTCCCAAACATTCCTGGGCTAGTGCTGGATCTGAGGGACAGTAAAGGAGCATGGGTCCCTGCCTTGCTCTTAGCATCTCCAGTCCAGTGCTAGTCCAGTCTGGTCTTGGGCCTTAAGGGGAGAAAAAGCCAGTTGGACCCTTCCTAACTGACTCAGCCAGAAGGCTTCCCCTACTCTGTTGGGAGGTGTGGGGCTAGCTGATGTGTAAGATGCCCAGGTGGGAGTGGGGCCCGGGCAGTTGGAATGAAAACATGCATGGGGGAAAAACCCTAGTTCAGTGTCCCTGCCCCTGTGGTGGTGGCTATGGCAGAATATGGCTGAAGCGACCTGTGGAAGGTGGTGGGGGTCAGGGTAACCCTCCCCTCACTGCCACCCCAGCACTTCAGGAATGCCCTAGGGGGCAGCCTCTGAGAGCTGAGGATGCCACAGCTAGGAGGAGCGCTGGGTGGAGGCTGCATTCTGGTCTAGAGAACTTTCCAGAAGGCATCCCTTTGCTCAGATCACAGACACTGGCGGACAGTTGATCCTGCCCCTTTCATCTGGGCTGCTCTCCCAGCTCCCAGTGCTGGGCTGTGGTCCGCACACAGCGAATCCCAGATGCATGCCTGGGCCCCTGCCACTGATCGGGTTGGACGGGTGTGCTGGCCTGGAAGGGCCCTGAGCCCCCACCGGATGCTGATCACAGCCCTGCTGTGTGGAAGGCAGCTCTGGCCAGTCCTAGGCATCTCCACGCCTATGTGGTCAGAGCAGGGACTCCCAGGGCTAGTGGGGATCAGCAAGAGTCCAAGGGAGACAGGTGGGAGCCACAGGCCACAAGGAAAGTGTTGGGTGAGCGGGCAGCCCCAAGCCAGGAGTCAGGTCCAAGCTGGGTCACTGTCCTGGGCAGGTCCCTTCCAGTCTTGGCTTTCCTCTCCCAGATGTGGCAGCTGGCTGTGATGACCCTCCCCCCCACCCCAGGTCTTCCGGTGCAGCTTCTCATGGTGACCGCCTGCTCTGGGGAGCCGAGTGACTCATGGGTGACAGGGTGGTTACTCACCGACCACCTGGCTGTAGGGGGTCTGGGGGAGCTCACCACTGCCCTGCCGAGGCTAAGCCTCTTCCCGGCTCCCACTGCGGCTTTGCCGGTGGTGCTGACCACAGTCCCAGAAGCTCTGTGGGATGACCCTCCATTGGTTGGGTCCCCCATGGGGGACGGATGGGGCTGTGACAGTCACCCACAGAGAGGAACAGCTCAAAGCCTGAAGGGTGGCATCCGTCCAGGTGTGGGAGGTCTCTCTGGACTTCAGTCTCCTTATCAGTTGCAGGGAGTAGAAGGCCTATCCCCACAGGTTCGGGTCAGGCCCAGGTGCCTTGGGATTCAGAAGCATGTGACATCCCATAGAGTGGTGGCACCTGGTGAAATCTTAACTCCCAGGCAGCCTCCCAGCTGGAGGACACACATGGAGCTTCTCTAATAACAGAAACTTCTCTCAAACCCACTGCTGCATGGCCCAGACTCACTAGAGAGGAAAGAGAGTTGCATTCTGGGACAAACTGCTTCCTCCCCTGCGTGGGGCTAGGTTATGTGCTGGGGCTGTAGGGGGATGGGCCCCATTCTAACTTGGTTTCCCTTGAGTCCTAGTAAGGCCAAGGGCATGTGAGCAGCCAGATCTAGGTTCACATTGCAGCTCCACTGTTCCTGCCTGGCTGTGTCCTGACCTCAGCTGTTTCCTCTGCACCAAGAGGATCATGGTCACACAAACCTCACAGGGTGGCCATGAGACTCAGAAGATGCAGGGCAAGTGCTCAGCTCAGTGCCTGGTGTACAGTGACTGCTCAGGGGACAAGTGGTCCAGGTATTAGGACAGAGGAAGGCCCAGAGGGTGACCTCAGCTGTTTCCTCTGCACCAAGAGGATCATGGTCACACAAACCTCACAGGGTGGCCATGAGACTCAGAAGATGCAGGGCAAGTGCTCAGCTCAGTGCCTGGTGTACAGTGACTGCTCAGGGGACAAGTGGTCCAGGTATTAGGACAGAGGAAGGCCCAGAGGGTGTGTTGGTTCAGGAGAGAGTAAAGAATTTTGGGTGTCTCAAAGGGTTTCCTGAAGGAGATGTGCCTAGACAGGGTTTTGAAGGATGGAGAGGTCAGACTAAACAAGAGAGCCTCATGGCATCTTATTGAGGGGAGTCAGTGTGCTGGGGTCCAGCTAGGAGGGCCTTTCCTGAAGGCATCCGGGGCCCAGGGTTTGGCCCTCTGGGCTCTAGACTGCTCATCCAGCTCCTCTACTCCCTCTCCAGAGAATTCTGCAGCCCAGAGGACACACTGGGGTACAGGGTCCTCAGGAGGCTCAGCGTGCTATGGGAGGTGTGCAGAGGGCCGTGCAGGTGGTAGCCAAGAGTGGTGTGATGTTGGAGGCTGCACCTGCTCCTCAAAACAGTGGGCACCTTCCTGTCCCTGCTCCAGCCTTGAGGGACAGGGTGGTCTGGGGTTACACTACTGTGGGTGCCTGGGGAGCCCAGCTCCTCTACCAGGGTTTGGACCACCGCCCTACCATCCAGCTGCCCTGAGGGTGATGGTGGGGGCTGGGCGGGGTGGAGGTTTTCATCTCCAAGACTCAGACCACCTGTCAGCCCAGGGTCAGGGTGAAGTGTCCAGAGCAGGGCCCCTCTGTGCAGCCTGTGGTCAGTCCACTGACCTCTCCGCAGCTCCTGGCAGCTCCTGACAGAGGGGATACAGTTGGTTCCCTGGAGGCCTCCATTTTGCATGGCCCTGCATCCAGTGAGGACAGGGCTCAGCTCCCCTCCCAAGGGGACAAGAGGCGGGAGCCCTCCCTTGTCAGATGAAACCCCGGGCCAGGACTCCCTCTGCTTGATGAAAGGGTCATTGTGTGGTGCGGGCCGCCCGCTGGCCAAGGACAAAACGGCCGTTTGTCCTCCCTCCTTGGTGTGGGGCTGGGGGCCTCCCCTTGGGCTGGCTGGTGGGGTGGGGGTGGGTACAGGTGTGCACCCTTCTCCCTCTCCTTCCTTGTCTTCTAACTCTGTCTGCCCAGGCCCCTCCCCCAGGCCTGCCCCCCACCCGGGCTACCTTGCCCTGCGCGTGGCTCCATAGTGTAGGCCAGTTTCATTGTTGACAGGGAGGAAGTGAGCAGTCTGGCCCTGGAGGCATACAAGAAGATGCAGGAGGGAGGCCAGGGATGCTGGGAAAAGGACCTGCTGGCCAGCACTTGGTGTCCTCAGT